TTCCCTATGCCCCTTACTTGAGAAATTTTTTTTGATTCCTGGTATTTGATGATAAGCATTGTGGATTAGTTGATCATGATTTGATGTTTGATTGCCTTGAAACCTTAAAATGCGTCAATTTTGCCCAAATACATGTGAATATAGTGCTTGACTAGTTGATTTGGTAAGGAATATGTGATAGTTCCATAGTTCCTGGTATGTCGATGAATTTGAGTATTGGTTTGCAACTATTAGTAATGTTTATATGATTCATTATTATGCACATTGTGGAGGACGAAGGTATTTGTTCTTTTAGGTAGCCTCCAGATATTGTAGATACATTTGTTCCCTTCTTGCTACCCATGTTGTTGCCTTGACTTTTTATTGTTTATTAGCCACATTACAAGCCTATTTTGCCCCATTGGTTACTAGTCCCAAGCTTGGCTTGGGGGAGCTATTAGTGAGTGAGGTGAGGGAGTTTGTAGTGTGCTATTTATTTGCACAGTTTGGGTGGGTTTCTGAGAAGTTGTTTCGTTGTTATTCATGTTTATTTTTGATGAGTTTGAGAGCTATATTTTCTTGAAAAAAATAAAGCCTGATACTATGAAAAAAAAAGAGAGAAGTTCAAAGAAAAAAAAATGTGAAAAAATAAGTGAACTTCGAAAGAAAAAAAAATGTTAAAATGTTCTAGTTGGAGGGTGATCAAAAGAAAAATAATTTTGATTCTCAATGAAAAATTCAAGTTGAAAAATAAAATTTGTTTATTCACTCTACTTCTTCATTGTTATATCTTATGAGTGAAATTGTAAGTGTTGGGATTGTTTATATTGTTTGGAGTATATTTGGTTGATGTTAGAGTTGGTTATGTAGGAGATGTATGATCATTATTTATTTTTGATCATGGGTGTTATTAGGATATGGCTCCTTTAAGCATAGCTTTTCTCTCACTTAATCCCAAATTTATCCTACCTTTACCCTAGCCTTACATTACAAGCTTTAAAGACCTTCCGACCTTTGTGCATAGAATTGTATGAATGTGAAAGTGTTGTTTATCAATGCAAGTTATGATTTGACATATTTCGAGTCGACTAGTAGGATTGAGCGTTCATGGTTTTATACACACGAGAGTGTGAGTTGGGAGGGAATTGTTCACATTAAAGGGGTTGGATGGAGAGCGATCGAGTATATCTTTTACTCTCCACAAAAATGAGAGTCGAGTGTGTGAGCACTAGTCTTGAATTCTATATGCTCTTGTGGTTTGCTATATTTGACAATTGTTAGGGAAAAAAGGTAATTGGATGGATTTGATTGGTTGACTTTGAAGCATGTTTATTTGTTATTTGTGAATACCTTTGATACATAATATTGTTTTTAATTGGTAGTAGCCATTACACAAATTTAGTTGCACGTAAATATTGATGGAGATTACTTGTGCACCTTTTGCTTTTGCATTGCTTTTCTTCTTATTTTTTGGCTTTGATGATGATGATGATGATGATGATGGTACCTATGTCAGTAAATGGGGAACAAAATTTTATACATAATATTCTCTAAAGTTTATAAATGTAATAACCTACATTAGATTGCAAAATAACCTATTATTTACCTTTTCTAAAATCACTAAACAATGCTATTGACAATTGGACTCAATTGTCTTTGCCTTGGCCTTCTAAGCGGCCTCTTCTCAGAGTTTTATTCTGATTCATCTTTATCAGTCGTTATTACTGCTTTTGACTTTGGAGTTTCACTTTGATATCAGGGCTTTTCACTTTCTCTGTTGTTTTTTTGTCCTTCACTATTTCTTCTTCCTCATTAAGGTCCTTGAGTGTTTCCAGACCCAGGGAAATTAAGGCTTAGTGAAATGGATATTTATAATATCGAATGAATCAACATCGAAGCCTGCAAGGTGTTTTTCTTCTACATCGCCTTCGTCGTCAGTGTCATTTACATCTAACTTCCGTTTAGTTGTTGAGACACGTGAGCTAACGATCAACTCACCATCAGGGCTTAAGAAATCAGGGATTTCAATGCAGAATTTTGCCAACAGTATCACCTTATTTGTCACTCCTACAATCAGTTGATTTTGGAACCTTTCATATACTCTGTGATATACTAGCTACTTCGGCTACGAGTTATCCAATGTTAACTCAGTTTTTGACAATTTGCAATGAATATCTTTCTCCATTGCACTAGTTTTCTACAATGAAAAAGAATAGCTTAAGAGTGATTTTAATATGTGATTAAATCATTGTATATGAATTAAATTGTTTACAACACAAACCCTACACCCAATTTAAATTCATTAATAAAGAATTTCATGGTTGTAACAAAATTGTATAGTTTTTTTTTTTTTAAAAAAAATTATAACATATAAACCGTATATAGATGAAATTAATGTTCAAAATTAAAACATTTAAAACATTAAAAAGTTTTAAATAAATTCGTAAATTAAAAATTGTGCAATAAAATTCAAATTAATTAGGAAATACTTACTTCTGCTTTCTAAAACAAAAATTGTGCAAGTTCTGAAACAAATTCGTTTGAATAGTGTGCGAGAATGATTTAGCAAAAAAAAACCTAACGATAATGTTTAAAAAGATTCTTAAATTTCAAAAGATAATCTTTTCAAAATTCAAAATATAATATTTTAGGAAAAGATAAAGATGAGATCCCTAACATTATACATATTTCCAAATATTTAATTTAAATTTCTTTAGTTACAAGATATTTAGATCATACTCTTTTAATCAAATGTGTATGTAAGATTCATTTAGATATTTGTCTAAGTTCATCGTAAAATAAGTAGCATTCAAATTAAATTCTAATCTAATAATTGGTAATGTCTAATGTTACGTTTGGTCGTAACCTATAGATTTTAGAGATGTTTCATACGGGTAATTTCCAATATGTATTTGTGTTAATTACGTATACACAAACGAAATTTAGATTAACATATGCGTGTTTTTTGGATCAAACAGGTTTCGAAAAAAATTGTATCGGTTTCTTCTTAGAATTTCCTATCGAACCCAGATTCTTGAAAAACATAGTAAATTTTGAATTCGATTGCACAAAACTGGTGATTTCGCATCAATTGAAGGATTTTGTACAATAAAAACTAATTATTCGATGATTTTTCACCAATACCATTTGCACCAAATCTCGGAATTCTAATTACTTGCAATATCGAATATGATGTTTGGATTTGGCCCTTTTTTTAATGATCATCGATGTGAAAGTAACCCTGAAGTTCAAAGATTATTAACAAAAGGTTAAATTCATCCATAATAAATGAATAAGAATGAAGAACACAAAGAACAATGAAGAACAAATTTTTGATTATTTTTTAATTTAATTTAATTTTTTGATTTAATTAAAGATGATTTTTTTAAAAAAATTTCTAAAATATAATATAGAATTTTGAAAAAAAAAGAAAATGTATTTTTCAGAAAATAGAAAAGGAATAAAAATTGAAAAATTAGAAAAGTAAGTTTGACCAACGATTTAATGAAAGGAGATTTTAACCAATCAAAGTAAAGCATACCTATGGTCATATTTGAAGATGACTATAGTAGAATTCCCCACCCGAAAAAGGCGTAATCATAATCTCATTAATTAATTTTGAAAGACATATTGTGTTTGTTTAGTTTTAGAACGTAGGAGGAAAAAAATAGAGAAAAAAATGATGATGCCAGAAAAAGCTTTGGCTGGAATTTTTTTTAAGAAGTTGACAAATGTCTCTTAATGGTGTCAGCATGTTTTGTTTTAGTATTAGTTAATACTCCCTCCTCTTTTAAATACTTGCTCCATTTCTCCATGCGCGGAGTTTTAGCAGAAATTGTAGAAATTAATAAAATATAGAGGTAGTGGGGTTAGTGGAATAAAAAATAGTAAAAACCCAAAGTAGTAGAGATGAGAATTGAAGGAGAGAGAATATGTAATTAATATTGTTGGGTTCACTTGGTGAGAGAAATTATTTAAATAATGTAAAATCTTTCCAAATAAGGAAATGAAGCAAGTATTTAAAAAACGGAGGGAGTAGATTTTAGCATAATCCAACAAGATACGAGTTTATATATATATATATATATATATATATATATCTATATATCTATATATATATATATATATATATATATATATATATATATATATATATATATATATATATATATATATATATATATATATTATTCTATTTTTTAAATCACAAAAGATAAAAATGAAAACAAGAAAAGGATCGATCCGTGTTACTTGAGGCCTAATTTTGGACCATACTTCATCTGTCCCTTATTTTTGTCCTATTATCGTCTTTTATGGTTAAATTTTTAAACTTTTACCATAAATCATTGTTAATTTATAAGAGGTTAGGTACGATCTTGTTTGATTTTCTCATTGTACAATTTGTTAATATTACAATTTTATAATATATTATGCACTTGCCACTTTGCCCGGAGGCACCACCAGAGGTTATATAAACGGAGGCTTGAAAGAGATTTAGAAGTGTCTCGCAAGGGTAGGTTAGTCATTTCATGCGGGATTTAAATTTTTCCACTTTAGATTCAGTGGTACAAAATACACTTTCAGTGGTACAAAATATAATTTTAGTAGTATTTTAAAAAAGGTTCAAATGTCTTATTAGCCAGTCAAATAATACAATTAGAGCTCAGTGTTACAAAATACATTCCCAGTGGTACTCAATGCAGTTTTAGGGGTACTTATAAAATTCTTAGTGGTGCAAAATATACTCTCATTAGTTGTGGTCCCAATTTTTTTTTGTTCTTTTTGCACGTGAAACCAAATCTGACGAAAAGGTGAGTCCTACCTCACCCTTTTTCACTATCTCTATCTTTGTCTTCCTTTCTCCCTCTTTCAAGTACATTTGCTATATTATTTTATGTTGTGAGATATTTTATTTTGTCTCACAACCCTACTAATATACTTCATCCAAGTGTCACTCCTATAATTCGCTGGTGGCAGCGCTCTAATAGATCTAAAACAATAGATATATACCAACCTCAGCAGTGACGTCTTGGATCATTAGTTTAATCAAGTTTAAATCAACAAAACAAAAATCTTATGTATTTTTTTACCTATACAACAAAGGTAAGAAAAGTCATCACCTACTCGGCTACTCCATATAATCCATGCTAATAAGTCCATTGAAAAAAAATCATTCAAATAGTTCACAACTCTACAAAATTACATCAAAAAACACCATATTATACTAATTAATTATTGCTTAATACTTTAAGTTTGAGCATTCACATAAATTAAATCAATATCATATATAGCAATGACAGACGAATTAAAGCTACTGGATTACTGGGCAAGTCCTTATGCTGTAAGAGTCAAAATCGCACTAAAAGAAAAGGGTATTACAGACTATGAAATCCAACAAGAGGATTTGCTCAATGCCAAAAGTCAACTTCTTTTCGAGATTAACCCGGTTTACAAGATGATTCCAGTTTTGATACACAATGGTAAACCGGTTTGCGAGTCTCTATTAATTGTGGAGTATATTGACGAGATATGGAAAGAAAACTCACCAGGTTTGTTGCCTGTTGATCCATATCAAAGGGCTCGAGCTCGGTTTTGGACCGATTATTTCGATAAAACGGTATTTCATCCTCTCTTTATAAGATATCCAAGGCTGGGTTTTAAATCTTGTCTAATTGTCTATTTCTAAATCCTAATTAATTCTAATAGGTACTTAGGTAGTAGGTTCTAAGCTTCTAACCCAATTACTCAATTATTCAGGGAAAATTCAAGTTTATTTGCTAAATAAATGATAAAAATACAACTTTTATTAAGTGGTAAATTTTGTAAATAATACAATAACTGTTTTTATTAAATGTGGGATTCAAATATTATACTAACTGAGAGATATTTTGTTGTTTTATCTATGAAATTGCCATGCCACTTGATAAACATATTTTTGTTTATGTGATTTGGTAGATAAAGTGGGACTTTCTCATTTATGCACAAAATCCTAATTATTTGTTTTTAATTCTAATGCTAATCTCATAAATTTGTGCTATACAGTTTATAACTTTTATTAGCAAGTTATGGAGCCAAAGAGACGAAATTCAGCAGGATGAAAAGAATGATTTCATAAATTTCCTAAAGTTGTTTGAAGAGGAGCTTGGAGACAAGCCTTATTTTGGAGGCAACAATTTCGGATATTTAGACGTCGCACTAATCCCAAATTATAGTTGGTTTTACTCCTATGAGACATGCACTAAATTGAGTATAGTATCCGATTGTCCACAACTTATTGCATGGGCTAAGAGATGTATGGAAAGAGATAGTGTGAAATCTTCTATGCCTAATGAGCTAAAAATTTATGAATATGTTCATGACTTAAAAGAGAGATTTGGAACAATTTGAGGTTCATCATTCAAATTTGAACCATAATTTAATGTACGTTAGTTGTACTAGTGTTTCGTCTTGTTGTATGAATTGTTATGAGCATTTTACATAATGTTGGTGCTTTATATTACATGTATATGTTTATTTTCATTTTGCAAATGTTGTATACTTGCATTGGTTTTATACAACTTTTTTTTTTAATACAACATTTTGATCGACAAATTATTTTATCACAATAAAACTTTGAGCATAATTATTTGTAAGAGTAATTGTGAATTACAAGTAGAAAAAACTATTAAAAGTTATCATTATAAAAATGAACATCATGACTAATTCAAAAACATATTACGTAATGGCATTTATTTTGATAATATCAGTAATGACATCAAGTCAAAGCTAGTGTATAAATATTGCAAAATCAAAATGTTGCATTAAAAAAATGGGTGGGGTCTGGGGTGGAGAGGGGAAGGGAGGGCGGGGGATAGCAAACTAGTACAATACTGCGCAATGCATGGTTTAGAAATTATAATACTCTGTATTAGTAGTGGGTACGGTTTAAATTAATCATATACTTCCTCGGTTCTTATATTATTGCACTATAAAGATTGAACACACTTCTTATGGAAGTAAGAAAAAGAACGAGAGAGAAGGGTGAAGTACAAAATTATCCATGTGATGTAAACATAAGCCAAAAAATCAAGTATATATTAAAAGCAAGAGTACATTGAGTATTTGTAGTTTGCACACATGTATTTTATTTCATAAAATGGAAATTTTGTAATATTTGTGAAACTTCCTTAAAAGACAAGTGGTGCAATAATTAAAAAAAAAACAGAGAAATTAGATAATATAATACTTGTACAGAGAATGTGTTAAATAAAATCTTCGAAATTAAACATTAATCCATACTATTGTTTAGGGTAAAAATACCCTAGATCGACGCGTGGATAAATCGGAGAGGGACATGTGTCTAGCCTAGACAAGTCCACATGGGCCACTCAACAAGTGACACATGTCAGCCTCAGATATCTACTGGAATTGTGGCCTTCAAGGCCCAATTCCCTAAAACGCCGTAAAACGGCGCAGCCCACCAAATCTAGGTCAAAATGACCTAAGGGAGGGCACCATTTTCAGCGACCCTATAAATAGGAAGATATCCCTCATTTTTTGGGAGACATTTAATCATTTATCACACTACCCTACATTCTCTCACATCAGAGAAAACACCTGATCTCGAAATTTGAGAAGATATAACTTTACTTTCCGCACCTTTTTACATTCTCCAACACAATTTAACTTGATCTTGGAGGCGGAGCTCCTGCCACCCGGAGTCTTCGTTATTTTGCAGGTACAGGCGTAGTCGGATCGGTCTTTGAGCCGTAACTCTCTTGAGGGACAAAAACCCCCAAAACAGTTGACGCCGTCTGTGGGGAGAGTACCTCAAAGATGGTTAAAAATTCTATACCACATTCAGACCCAAGCCGTCCTACGGTTGATGGGGAGGTCTTTACAGATCATAAAGATGACCACGATGTGGACGTTAAAACTTTTGTGTCCCCTCATGAGTCACTCATTGCCAAGCACATCCGTTTCAGAGACAAGCTGGAACGAGTAAACAACGAAGCTAGTAGTAGCAGGTCTGCTGGACCACTGCCTGGTACTACCAGGCAGCCGAAGGTCAGGCTCTAGTAACCCGAGATGAGCTCATGAAATTCATGGTAAGTTTCAAGGGTGAGATCAAGGTCCTGACCAACCATAATAAGACTAGATCTATAAGAGTTAGTCAGCCAAAAAATCTCCTCGAGCTGCAAAGAGGAAGCCAGTCAGAGATAGGCAGCCTACTCCATACCCCAAGGAGAAGACTACGCTTGTCCTTGACTGGATAAAGATCCTTCTGCCCCAGACGGGCACAAGGAAGGTCATCCGTACCGTTCAGCCTGATGGCAGCAAGAAAACCTTTACCAATGCTCGACATGTGATCGAGAGAAATCGGAATCAACAGCTGTCTGAGTCAGCCTCTACCTTGAGCTTTCCAAGCCGTTTCAAAAATACATCTGTAAGGAATACTCAATCCTTGCATGAGAGCTATACAGGCGGCAAGACCGTCCACTCTGCCCCTCTAATGATTGGAAATGCCCCGTATATACCCCTGATGGTATAAGGCCTGTATTCCCCTCATTTCTTGCAGCCGGTCCTCTTTGGGGGGAAGGCGGCATACAATGTCCAACCTTTGGACTGGCAGCTCCGTTTACTCAAACTCGGTGAACAAACTTATGTGTTCACCAAGGAAATAACCGAGGCGGCATAACAGGCTAAGGTTAATAATGTATTGGTTGGTGCCTATGATGGTACTTCCAACCCGGAGGATCACCTTATGGCCTACTCCAACCTAATGCACATGCAGGGGTTGGAGGATGCTATGTGGTTTCGATGCTTCCCAACTACCTTGAAGGGCATAGGCCGACAATGGTTCGGCAATCAGCTAGCCAGGTTCATTGACAGGTTCAAAAAGCTTGCTTTCTTGTTTGCCTCCAACTTCTAAATGAACATCCTTGCCAAGAAAACAAGTCTTGACTTGAGCACCATAAGGCAGGGAGAGAGAGAAGGGCTTCACTCCTATGTCAGATGGTTCAATATGGTGAGAATCCAGATTCAGGGGCTGTCTGATGAGGTAGCTTATACATACTTCTTCAAGGTTTGAAGGATAAGTGGACCTTTAAGTTTGACGTTGTCCGAAAGAGGGTCTTCACCCTTAAAGAGGCGCTGATAGAGGTGGAGAGCTTTATTCAAGCCACCGACCTCTGCTCGTCCAACCATCAGTCAGATTCCTAGAAGTTTGACAAACAAAAAGAAATTCATTTTACTCAGCCGGCTCAGAAAGATGAAGAGAGCAAATAGAGAAAAGAAGTTTGGGCGGTTGATAAACCTGATCAGCCGTCTAGAAAGAAAAAGAAGGAATTCAGCTGTACGTCTCAAGGTACGAGTTAAATAAAGACTACCACTCCATCCTCATGGAGATAAAGGACCGACTGACCATTGAGAAGTCGAATCCAATGAAGAGTTCCGTTCAGTCACGGAACAAGAATAAATATTGTCACTTCCATGAGGAAGTCGGCCATGACACCAACAACATCTACAGTCTCAAGCAGACGTTAGACCGTTTGGCTGATAAGGGCGTGTTGATGTCCTATGTCTTAAAGTCCAAAGAGAATTCCAAGACGAATCCAGGATTGTCGTCTAAGACTGTCCAACCTACAAGTAGCTCGTACACCGACAAGGATCCGGTCTACACTATAGCAGGCGGATTCGCATGTGGTGGCCCGACCATTCGGGGCATCAAGGATCATCTTCTGAAGAAGATCCACTCAGTTGATGATGGATAGGCGTCCACAAGTAGAACATTCCCAGATGTCCTCATCACTGAGAAGGATCGGGAAAAAGTAGGCCGACCGCATGATGACCCAGTCGTCATTAAATGTAAGGTCGCCAACCAGGTGGTTGGTAGGATCCTTATTGACACTAGTAGCTCCTCTGACCTCATTAGCTACAAGTGTTTGTCGAAGCTAAGCTATAAGTTGGACAACCAGCGTGATATCTCTAATCTACTAGTTGGCTTTGGGGGAGGGGTCGTGCACACAGGCGGACAAATTGATCTACCCATCCGGCTAGGGCGGAAGGGAAAAGGCGACATATGATTATCTGGTTTTTGGTGGTTAAAGAGCTAACAACATATAACATCATTCTTGGCCGATCCACTCTGAATGAGTGCAAGGCCATCATCATCCCATCTCTCATGTTGCTCAAGTATGAAAAGGATGATGACTCTATTGGCTCCCTCAAGGGGGATCAAAAGACAGCAAGGGAATGTTATCTCATGGACGTCAAACCAACGATTGTTGCAACCAGTCAGCCGAAGGAGCCAATAGACCTTCACGATGTCAAGGACTCTAATTCACCCCACCAGCAGATGAAAAGAAAAGAAAAGATGATCAGCTGGTGGATGTGAAGAAAGAGAAGAAATAGCAATCATTATCGGGGAACGGTTAAATGATCTCCAACCCTATCCGGCTGGTGAACACATTGATATTCCTTTGGATGACAGCTGTCCAGAGCGAACTGTTAAGGTGGGGACGGCTGCTTTTGAAATGTTGGGTGTAAACTTGCACCTCTTGCTGAAAGAATTCAAATATATTTTTGCCTTTGAAGTTGAAGAGATGCCAGGCATAAGCCCAGATTTTGCTGTCCACAAACTCGCCGTGGACCCTAAAAAGAAGCCCATCCGACAAAAGAAATAAATCGTGGCGAGGAAAGAAGTCAGGCGTCAGTAGCTAAGCTCAAAAAGCTGTTAAACGTTGCATTCGTTCGGCCATGTAACTTCCCTAATTGGGTTGCGAACGTGATGCTTGTAAAGAAGCCGAATGGTACTTGGCGCATGTGTGCAGATTACATTGACTTGAACAAGGCATGTCTAAAGGATAGTTACCCGCTTCCAAAGATCGACATCCTGGTCAACTCTACAATCAGGCATGCCTTGATGAGTTTAATGAATGTCTACTCCGGCTTTCATCAGATACCCCTGTGGAAAAAAAGATCAAGAGAAGACGGCCTTTGTCTGATCAGTGGTTTTTCTGTTATACGGTGATGCCATTTGGCTTGAAAAATGCACCTGCTACTTTCCAACGGATGATTATAATAGTCTTAATTAATCAGATTGGGAGGAATATAGAAGCGTATATTGATGACATAATAGTCAAATGCAAGCTACAGATGGATCACCTTGCTAATCTTTGAGAAACCTTTACCACACTTAGGCGACATAAGGTCATGTAAATCCCAAAAAGTGTGTTTTTGGTGTTGAGTCTGGGAAGTTTCTCGGATTCTTGATAGATCAAATAACCCCGAGAAGATACAAGCGGTAATTGACATGAAGTCACCCCGCATTTTCAAGGAAGCTCAGAGACTTACCGGTTACCTAGCTGCGCTTGGGAGATTCCTCAGCCAGTCAGGTTACAAATGCCTTTACTTCTTTCAAGCAATTAGGAAGAAGATTGATTTTAATGGGGAGTTGATGCTGAGGCGGCCTTTAAAAAATTGAAAGAACATCTAAACTCCTTGCCAAGGCTTGTTAGCCCTCTACTAAAGGAGACGTT